CGTTGGCGGCCGTCCGACAAGCAGAATCCACGGGGGATGCCAGATTCATTTAACGACCATATTCCTCATTTAACAACTTCAGCGATTCACTTCACAAGGATGGCAAGAAATTTTGTAAAATTGGGCTCGCTTATCAACATAAACTTTGGACTCTGTTGTGGTCGTAAGCCGAGGACTTACCTGTATCTCATGATTGAAGGAAGAGCCCGTGGCATCATCCCCGTAATCACCTGATCAAAAATTCAGATGCTTGGCAACTGATTCATATTTATGACGTGTCCCAATGTTACGCGATCCCCTTTGCGACCGCCCGACAAGCAACGTCAACGGGGAAGCCCGATTTGCTTAACAACCCGTGACTCACTTAACAACTGAGACGATTCCCTTTAACCAATATGGCAAAAAAGGTCGTAAAATGGGGCTCAACAGTTATCTCACTTAGCGACAGGAATTCCGGTCTCAGTTGTGGTCGTGGGTCGAACATGTCCCGTATTTCCAACCAAAATTCTTTTCCTTAAAAATGAAGAAATGTAGAATTAGTGGCGTCGAGTTATTTCTATTTTCTGCCGGTTACAGAGCTGGAAGGAGTGTGGAATTTCTATTCGGAGGGGATTGTATAGCTACAGCCTTATATGGAAACCCCTGCAGCCAGCCGGCATGATCTCACTGTCGAAAAATGTAAATAACAACCCATATTTAAATGTCCCCCATCCATGCCTGTGGCTTTCCTTCAAAGGATTTGCCCCTTTTACAATATGTCAGTTTTCCCCGTCGCAAAACTATTTTAAAACCGTTTTACAGTATGTCAGTTGTCTTGTCACAAAACTATTGTCGAAAGCTTTTACAATATGTCTGTTTTCTTGTTGCAAAACGATTGTAGAAAACTGTTTTACAATACATCAGTTTTCTGGTCTCAAAACTATTTTAAAACCGTTTTACAAAACGATTGTAGAAAACCTTTACAATATGTCAATTTTCTGGTCTTAAAACTTTTAAAATCATTTTACAATATGTCCGTTTTCTTGTCACAAAACTGTAGTAGAAAACCTTTACCATATGTCAGTTTTCTTGTCTTAAAACTATTTTAAAACTGTTTTACAATATGTCAGTTTTCTTGTCACAAAACTATTGTATATCTGTTTTCTTGTTGCAAAACTATTGTAAAACCGTTTTACAATATGTCAGTTTTCTTGTCTCAAAACTATTTTAAAACTGTTTTACAAAACTATTGTAGAAAAGCTTTAAAATATGTCAGTTTTCTTGTCGCAAAGCTATTGTAGAAAACCTTTACAATATGTCCGTTTTCTTGAAACAAAAGTATTATAAAACCTTTACAATAAGTCAGTTTTGTGGTTGCAAAACTATTGTAGAAAACAGTTTTACAACATGTCAGTTTTCTTGTCACAAAACTTTTGACAATGAGGTTGATGGACCCTTGCCTCTGGAGCCGAAAAGGAAAATTAATTGAAAAGCTAATGGATCCCTCGGAATCCTGATGGGAAATTATATCAAAGAATTCGTCCAAATACAGAATAACAAAAAAATTGGAAGGAAACTTAGGTAATCTTCAACCTGTAACAGTTCTTTTAATGACTGAAGTTATAATGCTGACTTACGACCATTGCAGCATCTTTGTGGTCGTGTGATCAGAATTCAGGTGCTTGGCAATGACTCATAGTTATGACGGTTGCAGTGTCCCGGAGGCCTGCAATCCACTTTTGCGACCTTCTGACAAGCACAGTCAATGGGGGAAGACAGATTCACTTAACAACTGAGTTACTAACTTGAGAACTGCAGTGATTCACTTAGCAAGGGGCAAGAAAGGGCGTCAAATGAAAAACACACTTAACAACTGTCTTGCTTGGCAACAGAAATTTTGGGCCCGATTGTGGTCGTAAGTCGCGGACTGCCTGCAATCTTTCTTTGCTGCTCTGTTGCCAGCCACAAATGGTTGGTATTTGAGATTGTTCCTTTGAGGCTGATTCTGAAATCGCTTTATCCGATGCTGTCGTAAATTCAAACTGTCATTAAACAAATGGCCATAAACTGAGGACTACCTGGCATTTGAACCAGCCACAGTGAACTCGTTGTGAACTAGTTTAAAATACAGGACATAAGTTCATTGTTCACAACAACGAATTGTTCACAACAATGAACTGGAGAGAAATGGGCTTGGTGTTTGGAACATCATGTACTAGTATATTATACTAGGGGCGATAATGTAACATATATCTAAAAGTCTACTCTATGGAGATCTTCAGTCATCCAAGCTCATGGTTGTCCCAAAAGTGCTTTTTTTTCAAGAGGCAACTGGATTTTCTGGTTTTTGTTTTGAAGATATTTTGCTTATCATTCCAAGAAGCTTCTTCAGCTCTGACTGGATGGTGGGGAATGGAAGGATTTATACTCCTTGCAGACAGCTGGTCATTCATTTGCAACCTTTTAGAGGGCCATTGAGGCCACTTGGAGAATGTTTAACAGTGGGGGAGGGATAGGACATCTGTCTCCAATCTACAGCACAGTCCTTTCAACAGTTCCAAAAAGGCTCCACACCCATTTACACCACTCAGGTGACCCTGAGGACACAGACAAACCTCCCAGTGGCCTCAATGACTCTCTAAAAAGGATGCAAATGAACAGCTTTGTCTGCAAGGAGTATAAATCCTTCCGTTCCCCACCATCCAGTCAGAGCCGAAGAAGCTTCTTAGATGAGAAGCAAAAGGAAAACCAGAAAGTCCAGTTTCCTCTTGAAAAAGAACACTTTTGGGTCTATTTCTTTCTTTTTTTTATTTTTTTTAAATAAAATTTTATTTTATACACATAAGCACATCAACAGAAACAAACTCATAACTTAAAAACAACATAGGAACAATAAGTTCCATCCTACTTTTGAGTCTGTTTCTAAAGGCTGTTGTAACTTTTACTTAGATAATGTGTGTTAAATGCTGTGAAATGCTCTTACGGCAATCCTTTAGGCTAACCTCTCAATTTGCAAGCTCAAGAGATAAAGACCAGAGTGAGCAGGAAGTGATCTGAAGAGAGCCTCTACTTCATTTCAGAGCTGAAGTCTTAATTACTGGATGTAGTAACCCTCACGGAGCTGCAAATACTTGTATCTTATTTTTTTTTAAGGTTTAAAAGTTTTTATTTTCCATTTTATCATTTTCATACGCTCACATATATACTGTGCATATATGTATGGCCGGCGCCATACAACATTAAACAATAATTGCAGCAATTCCTCTTGTCAACAATNATCCATCAATCCCTTCCTTCTCTCCTTCCTTCCTTTCTTCTCATCCATCTGTCCCTCCCTCCCTCATTCATTCTCCTTCCTTTCTCATCTATTTCTCCCTCCCCTGCCTTCATTCATTCATTCTTATTCATCTATCCCTTTCCTTCCTTCTCATCCATCTATTCCTTCTTCCCTCCCTCCCTCCCTCATTCATTGATTGATTCATCCATTCATTCTCCTCCATCCCTTCCTTCCTTATCCATCTATCCCTTCCTCCCTCCTTCCCGCTCATTCATTCCCCTCCCTCCCTCCCTTTCTTTCTCATCCATCTATTCCTCCCTCCCGCCTTCATTCATTCTCATCCATCTATCCCTTCTTTCCTTCCTTTCTTCTCATCCATCTGTCCCTTCTTTCCTCCCTTCCTCATTCATTCATTCATTCTCATCCATCCCGTCCTTCCTTCCTGCCTTTCCTTCCACAGCTCCAGAAATAGTGAATTATGAGCCTTTGGGCCTTGAGGCTGATATGTGGTGAGTGACGTAAGCTTCTATTTCTTATCCGGCCCATACAGGAAGTAATATCTAGGCTCGAGGTCTGAAGGCCACTGCACAGTTTCCATTTGACACCAGTAGACACAGTCGTGTTTTCTGAACTCCCATCTAATGTTGGGTGCATGTTGGGAATTGACCAGATTGCCACTGGCTAAGTTAAACCATCCTTGCTTGGTTTCTTGGTTGCTTAGCTCTGGTTTCAGCTTCGGGGGTGAGTGGGGGGTGGGGAGTCAGTTTCTGGGGTTGTGACGGTTGATGGATGGATGATTAGCTGTAGAAGCCCTGAGTCCCTCTGCGAGTGAGATGAGCAAGACCTGAATTGGACAGATACAGATTGATCAATAGAGATGATAGATACAGATGAGACAGACAACAGACAGATAAATGATAGAGATGATAGAGAGGTAGATGAAAGAGATGATACCGACAGAGAAAATGATAGAGATTATAGATAGATAAGAGATGTTAGAGATAATAGAGCAATATGGGCCCAGAGTGTACCAGACGTAGCTAAAAGAGAGTTGGTGTTGATACGCAATACCGCATACAGACAACTGTTTATTAAGTGATTGTTACTATCCTGGAGAAGATGGTGAGCGACCCATCAACAAGCCTATCTATGATAACCCAGTTNTTAATTAACTTGTATGCCGCCCACCCTCGGAAGACTCAGGGCGGCTCAGGATGGAGAGAGGGAGGGATGGCAAGAGAGAGGGAGAGAGAGAGAGTGGGAGGGAGGGAGAGAGAGAGAGTGGGAGGGAGGGATGAAGAGGGAGAGAGAGTGGAAGGGAGGGATGAAGAGGGAGAGAGTGGGAGGGAGGGAGAGAGAGTGGGAGGGAGGGATGAAGAAGGAGAGAGTGGGAGGGAGGGATGAAGAGGGAGAGAGAGAGTGGGAGGGAGAGAGAGTGGGAGGGAGGGATGAAGAGGGAGAGAGAGAGTGGGAGGGAGGGATGAAGAGGGAGGGAGGGATGGAGAGAGAGGAAGGGAGAGGGAGGGACGGAGGGAGAGAGAGAGAGAGAGAGAGAGAGAGAGAGAGATCACTTCGCTCTGGGACTTGCCAGAAAGGTGAGAGCGTTTGGGGAAATTTGGAGCAATAAAGGGGGTGGTTTTAACTGCCAGCTTCCTGTGTTACCTCTGTGCCATGCCCTGGGTCATCACAGGCTGTCAGTCAAGGATGATTTTTTACAAGCTCTTTCTCTTCCTTCCGCCTCCAGTGGCCAGTTCGCGATCGTGCGGAAGTGCCGCGAGAAAAAAACGGGCCTGGAATACGCGGCAAAGTTCATCAAGAAACGGCGCCTGTCGTCAAGCCGCCGAGGGGTGAGCCGCGAAGAGATCCAGCGGGAAGTCAACATCCTGCGGGAGATCCAGCACCCCAACATCATCACCCTCCACGATATTTTCGAGAACAAGACGGACGTGGTGCTGATTCTGGAATTGGTCTCCGGCGGGGAGCTGTTTGATTTCCTGGCGGAGAAGGAATCCCTGACGGAGGAAGAGGCCACCCAGTTCCTGAAACAGATCTTGGACGGAGTCCATTACCTCCACTCCAAACACATTGCCCATTTCGACCTGAAGGTGAGACCCTTCGTTTCCTATCCCCGAATAATAATGATAGTCAGCGGTGGGATTAAATACAAATAAATACAATAGCAGAGTTGGAAGGGACCTTAGAGGTCTTCTAGTCCAACCCCCTGCCTAGGTAGGAAACCCTATACCGTTCCAGACAAATGGCTCTCCAACATCTTCTTAAAGACTTCCAGTGTTGGGGCATTCACAACTTCTGGAGGCAACTTCTGNGATTTTGCAGGATCCTTCCTCTGCCACGCCTGCCAAGCCACGCCATGCCCACCAAGCCACGCCCACAGAACCGGTAGTAAAAAAACTGGCACCCCACCACTGGCTGAGATCCTTGGTGCTTTCTGAACTTGCTTGTTTTTTTGCAGGCATTTCATGACCCAATTAGGTAACATCATCAGTGCTAGAAGGGAGTGAGGTTTATGGAGAGGAGGAGGACTGAGGGCAGAGGTGGTATTCAGCAGGTTCTGACCAGGTCTGGAGAACCGGTAGCGGAAAGTTTGAGTAGTTCGGAGAACCGGCAAATATCACCTCTGGCTGGCCACGCCCCTATCTATTCTCTGCCTCCCAAGTCCCAGCTCATTGGTAACATCATCAATGGTAAAAGGGAATGAGGTTTGCTGTCTGTTTATAGACAAGTGGCTTTTGCCCTGTCACTGTTGATGGAAGCTTTTGTCAGAATGGGGGGAATGCCAATTCAGACAAACAATCACACACCGAATAACAGCCGAATCAAGGGGGAAAAAATCACACGCCTGTCAATGCTGCTGATTTTGCCCTGGAATCCTCAAGAATTTTAACATCTCAATTTAACATCAGGTCTTCCGTTGCTTCATGGACTCATGTGTCTCTTTTTCTTCCTGCCCTTTCACAGCCTGAAAACATCATGCTCCTTGACAAAAACGTCCCCAGTCCCCGGATCAAACTGATTGATTTTGGCATTGCTCACAAGATTGAGACGGGAAATGAATTCAAAAACATCTTCGGCACTCCAGAATTTGTAGGTAGGTGCAGAGGAGGGAAGGTTGCCAAACAAGAGGATTGGGATGGAAATGCTGGCATGTGGGAGATTTATGGAGCAATTTTTACAGGTGGAAGAAAATGATTAATAAAGTCTTCCTTCCTTCCTTCCNGAGGACCCAGACTGTGGGGGCGATATGCTGACTCTGTAAACTGCTTAGAGAGGGCTGAAAGCCCTATGAAGCGGTATATAAGTCAAATAAATAAATAAATAAATAAATAAATAAATCTGGGGGACTTCAGTCTTTTTCTGGAAAGTGGTCAGGAAAAGGCACTTTCTGGATTCTAGAGAAGACCTCTTAAGGTCATGATGAGAATCGGCAGTGGGTAATGGGGGAGATTGAGGAAGAGTTGCAAAATAATGTCAGAGATCTTATTATCATATGTGGTAGACATTTGTAGAAGCCAAAAAATATTGGACAAAAATACATACACGATTGGAAAAGGTGATAAAGCAGCACATTGATCTAAAACCAGAAATATTTCTGTTGGGGATTTCACCTGAATCTTACAGTTTAATATCTGTAATAATATCTAATTACTCACGTACTAACCGCAGCCAGAATAGTATTTGCACAACTCTGGAAAAGTGGAAGAGATTCCTGTTGATGGCCAGGTGATTAGGAAAATATTAGAAAGTGCAGAAATGAATAAATCAACCTTGGCAATTTTAAGGGAAAAGAACAAACTGAATTTTATATGATATGGGGATTATTTTATCAATGGTTAGAGAGGTGGAAAAGAATGTTGGAAATAAAAGGAGATTAAAAACAGTAGAAAATAAGATAGAAATATAAACAATATGATAATTGGTACTATTATGATGATGACGATTATGTTTAATGCAATTATTACAGTTTTATTAGGAGATACGTTAAGAGAAAAAAACAAACAGGTTTATTATGCTCAATTAATTCTAAGATTAGAAAATTAATATCAATGTAAATGATGTTGTAAATTACTTGTACCCAGGCGACACACTGTTTAAGGAAAGATGAAATGTTTATATTTAAAAACGAAAACAAAAGCTTTTTATTAAAAAAGAGAAATAATGTCAGAAGGTATGACTTCACAGGAAGAGCATAGTGGAAACATGGAAGTAACTTCCAACAGTGGGTCATTCGTCAGTAACCGAGTTTAAACATGCTTGGGATAAATTGTCCATCATCCGACAAAAATTTTTTAAAAATGAAATATAAATATAAAAACCCTCAAAGGGTAGATTTGATGGACCGCTAGATCTTTTTCTACTGTCAGTTTTCTGTGTTTTTAATCTCCTGCTCTGTAGGGGTCCTTGGTGCTCTCTGAGCTTGGTGGTTTCCTTGAATGCCTTTCGTGACCCAACTAGGTAATATCATCAGTATTAGAAGGGAATAGGGCTTGTGGAGAGGAGGAGGAGGAGGAGGAGGAGGAGGAACAGAATTGTGGGGTCCTTGGTGCTCTCTGAGCTTGGTGGTTTCCTTGAATGCCTTTCATGACCCAACTAGGTAATATCATCAGTATTAGAAGGGAATAGGGCTTGTGGAGAGGAGGAGGAGGAGGAGGAGGAGGAGGAAGAAGAGGAGGAACAACAGAATTGTGGGGTTCTTGGTGCTCTCTGAGCTTGGTGGTTTCCTTAAATGCCTTTCATGACCCAACTAGGTAATATCATCAGTATTAGAAGGGAATAGGGCTTGTGGAGAGGAGGAGGAGGAGGAGGAGGANGAGTTATCCATGGTGAGTTGAACGTTGAGTTATCCATGGTGAGTTGAACATGGTGAGTTGTCCATGGTGAGTTATCCGTGGTGAGTTGGCTGTGGTGAGTTGGCTTGGCGAATTGGCCATGGTGAGTTGGCCGCAAGTAAGTTGGCTGTGGCGAGTTGTCCCATTCCCTGCTCAAAGTGGCCTGGGCATGAGGCTTCACATTGCCAAGTCGCAAGAGCCTCTGGGTTTAAAAATGACACAGGACCCTTCCTTTTCCAGCCTGAGCGGTGCCTCTCCCTTCTTGGGGGAAACGAAGCAGGAGACCCTGACCAACATTTCAGCTGTGAATTATGACTTTGATGAGGAATACTTCAGCAACACCAGTGAACTGGCCAAGGATTTCATTCGAAGGCTGCTTGTGAAGGACCCCAAGTAAGAGGCAGGGGTGGGGAGGGGGCGAATGGGGTGAGGAAGGGCGGGAGACTTTTAATTTGAAGAAGACCTTCTCGGAATCCAACAGAAGAACCAATATCAAAAGATACTGGTAATTCTCGACTTATGACCATTCATTTTGCAGCCATTTGCAGTTATAATTTGGAATGTAAAACACGGGGGTGCCGCAATGGTCGTAAGTGTGGAAAAATAGTTTTCAGTGCTGTTGTAACTTTGAATGATCACTAAGTGAACTTACGTCGAGAACTACCTGTATCATGATTTGTGACCATAATGGGCAGGCTCAATTGCGGTCATAACTCAAGGACTAATTGTATCTACCCAGTATTGGAAAGACTTCAGTATAAAGTTGATGGTTAAATCTGGACCTAAGTTCATGCAATGGTACTACAAAAACCCATGTTTCAAGTATTACAGAGTCCATCCTGTGTGGCCTTCAAGGGTCTTTTTTTTAAAAACATCTCTAAAGCTGAATATATAAATTGGGAGCAGAACAAGGAAGCCACACCAAAGTTTTGGCTGGGTTTTCTCCCCTCTCCTCCTGAGAAGGTGACTGTGTGCAGGCAATATTCCCAAAACAGTCCTGAGGGATGAGGGTCCGAGATCCAGAAGGGTGCTGAAGTTTGGATAGATCCACTGTAACAGTGCAATTTCGCTCTCCTTTTTTTCCGTATGTTTTGCATCGATCCTAGATTTGACTGTTGCTCCTTTTAATGATTGCAGGAAACGGATGACAATTGAGCAAAGCTTGGAGCATCCATGGATCAAGGTAAAAACTTAAGTTATTCAAATAAGTAGTGATGTTTAAGATTGTTTCCTTCATCTTATGAATCTATGATTCTGTGACCTCCCAGATCCCTTCCAATCCTATGAGTCTATGATCCCCCCTTCTGAGTCCCTTCCAGGCCTATGAGCCTGTGATCCCGCCCCCCCTTGAGTCCCTTCCAGCCCTATGAGTCTGTGATCTCCCAGGTCCCTTCCAGCCCTATGAGTCTATGATTTCCCCTCCTGAGTCCCTTCCAGCCCTATGAGTCTGTGATCCCCACCACCACCTTGAGTCCCTTTCAGCCCTATGAGTCTGATCTTCCAGGTCCCTTCCAGTCCTATGAATGATCCCCCTGTCCCTTCCAGCCCTATGAGTCTGTGATCTTCCAGGTCCCTTCCAGTCCTATGAGTCTATGATCCCGCCCCCGAGTCTCTTCCAGCCCCATGAGTCTATGATCCCGCCCCTCTGAGTCCCTTCCAGCCCTATGAGTCTGTGATCTCCCAGGTCCCTTCCAGTCCTATGAGTCTATGGTCTCCCAGATCCCTTCCAGTCCTATGATCCTGCCCCCCCCACCACTGAGTCCCTTCCAGCCCTACAAGTCTATGATCTCCCAGGTCCCTTCTAGCCATAGGAATCGATGACCTCCCAGCTCCCTTCCAGCTCTTTGATCTCCCAGGCCCCTTCCAACTTTATGGGTCTATGTTTTTCACATTTACAACTTTTGCGGCATCCCCATGGTCACATGATCAAAATCCAGACGCCTGGCCACTGATTCATATTTATGAGGACTGATCCCCTTTTGCCACCTTCTGACCAGCAGAGTCAACAGGGAAGCCAGATTCACTTAACAACCATGTGATTCACTTAACAACTGCCGTGATTCACTTCACAACTGTGGTCAGGAAGCTCGTAAAATGGGGGAAAATTCACTTAAGAAATGTCTCGCTTAGCAACGAAACGGAACAGAAATTTAGGGCACAATTGTGGTCGTAGGTTGAGGACTTCCTGCAGTGGAGCTTCTCAGAAAACGGTTGCCGAGATCCTGATGGTGGTAGGGGAGGAAGAGGGATGAACAAGTCCACCAATCCTGAGATTTAACCCTCCCCCCCTTTTTCTAAAAATCAGGTGATCAAGAGGCGGAACGTCCGCAACGAAGACAACGGCAAGAAACCGGAGCGACGGCGCCTGAAGACCACGCGGCTGAAGGAGTACACCATCAAGTCTCACTCCAGTATGCCGCCCAATAACACCTACATCAACTTCGAACGCTTCTCCAAAGTCATGGAGGAGGTGGCGGTGGCTGAGGAGAGCCTGCGGGAGCTGCAGCAGAGTAAGAAGTCCTTCCGGGAGGACATCGAAGCCCTGCGGTCCATCTACGAGGAGAAGGAGTTGTGGTACAAGGAGGAGAACCAGGCCATCAGCCAGGACCTCCGTCAAATCCAGCAGGAGATGCAGAAGACGGAGACCCTCAAGCGGCAAGCTCAGGAAGAGGCCAAGAGCACCTCGCTGGCAGCTAACCGGCTGAAACGGCACCTCCGGAAGCTGGAGAACCGCTACGAGGCCCTGGCCAAGCAGATGGCCTCCGAGATGAAGTTTGTCCAAGAGCTGGTCCGTTCGGTGGAGCTGGAGAAGCTGCAGGGTGGAGAAGAAGACTGTGGAATCCGCTAATGGCACTTTCTGGCCAAGTGGGAGAAGGTCATCTCTAGGTCAAGTCAATCCATCTTAGATACCTCCTATCCACCTTTCCAGGGGCCAGAAAACCCTTCAACCTCATTGAATTGTTCCCAAAATTACATGTTCCGTCATACAACGCTTCTGCTCGTAACCCCGCATGGAGGAAAAAAAATTGTGCATGCGGACAACTTTCACGTTCCTTCACCTGAAGACGGGACGCGTATGAAATGCAGACTCAGCAGAGCGGGCTGTCGGCACACCAGAGGCACCCCCTTCCCCCCCTCTTGCTGGCTGATGCTTCCTTGAGAACCCCAAACTTTGGAGATGATCTGGAAATCGTTCTCCCCGAAAGAGATTTCCTGCTGCAGAGGGTCAGGGGGAAGATCTATTCTCATGGATGTTGAGTTTCTGCAAATGTGATCCTCAACCCCAGAGGAGTATGACTCTCTAACTCAACTCCTCTAGGACAGCCCATCTTTGGTCGAGAATTAACCAGGATTCCTGGGGTCTAGAAAGCAAGCTGGGGAGGGGGAGGGGGAGTTCCAGAAAAATCTTAAACGTTTCCCAACATTGCAAAGATTTTAGGAGGGGGTGTCTCTGTTGAATTGTGGCTACCCAAAGGCACGTAAGAGACGGGTGAAGAATGGCAGATCTTCCCCCATGAAGCTGGGTGGCAGGGGCAGAATTGCCACGAGCCTTCAGAATAGTGTTGGCGAACCTTTTCGGCACCGAGTGCCGAAACGGGAATGTGTGTATGTATTGGAAACCGGAAGAGTAGCTGCCCGATGCGCATGCTGGGAAGATGATCTTTCGGTTTCCAGCGGTGCATGCGCACCGGCACCTGGTCCTCCGGTTTCTGGTACGCACACATGCACAAATGACCAGCGTGCCAGAACCCGGAAATCATTTCCTGGCAGCTGCTTTTCCAGTTTATGGCGCTCTCGCGGGTGAAGACAAGCTGGCCAGCGCACCAGAACCTGGAAGATCAACGGGGTGACAGCTCGCCTGCCTGGAGAGATGGCTGTGCATGCCACTTCCACCACGCGTGCCATAGGTTTGCTTTTAAACAAACCCAGATTTGTTTAAAACCAGCTTAAGATTTTACCTTTCACAGGGAAGTGGGGAGTGGGGGGGAGTCTATCTTCTTCTGCCCTGTTGTTTTGGACTTCCGATGGGTCGCAAGAGACCCTTTTCTTAAGTTTGTGTATTTTAATTTCCGTGTTGGGGAACAGGTGGTTTTTTTTTGGTGGTCCGCAAGTAAAACTTTTTGTAAAAAAAAAAAAGAGAGAGAAAAAAAACACCCATCTCACGATGCTTCCTTGAGTGAATTTGGCTTCATCTTTGGGTGGGGCTGAATCTAACACCAGGTTTTACTGGGAGCCGCTGGTCTTACTGGGGATAGAGGTTGAGGCAGTCCTGGGCGGAAGGGTGGGGAGAGAAATTCTTTCTATCCAGGTTTTCAATTTTATTTAATGTATTTATCAAACTTGTATCGTCGCACAGTGCTTTGCGACCCTGCTGGCTTCTTCCGTTCCTTTGAACTATCCTGCTTTGGAGGCCTTTCCTCGGGATCCCAAAATATTTAGAAAATCTCGCCCTCTCTTTGAAACCAGGGATTGTCTCTTGAGTGGGACAGTCTAATTGCTCCTTTGAGCAATGAATAAACAACGTCAGATTTCTTTTGGGAAACGTCGCTTGTCTTTTAAGAGGCAGCTTAAAGCTTCGGTCAGCCAGGTAAAGGTTCCCCTTGCACCTATGTGCTAGTCGTTCCTGGCTCCCGTTTCAAAGCCGAAGAGCCAGCGCTGCCCGAAGACGTCTCCGTGGTCATGTGGCCGGCATGACTAAACGCCGAAGGCGCACAGAACGCTGTTCCCTTCCCACCAAAGGTGGTTCCTATTTTTTCTACTTGCATTTTTTACGTGCTTTCCAACTGCTAGGTTGGCAGAAGCTGGGACAAGTAACGGGAGCTCACTCCGTTATGCGGCGCTAGGGATTTGAACCGCTGACCTTTCTGATCCACAAGCTCAGCGTCTGAGCCACTGAGCCTTCCCTTCTTCTAACGCCACGTCTAATCCTTCCTTTCTTTGCACACATTTATTTTGTCTTTTCCTGAAGCTGGTTGTCACCTCCGCTGACAGAGCACCTCCTTCGTAGTCGCCTTTCCAGCCCTAAAGAATTCCTGCTTCCAAGGCACGTGGACAGAAGAGGTATTCAGCCGGTTCAGACTAGTTTGCCCAAACCTGTAGTGGAAATCACGGCTGGGCCTGCCCACCTGCCCCAGCTCTATGCCGTCCTAGTTAGGCATGTTTTTGAGGCTGGGCGCATGCGCAGAAGGGGCACCTGCACCTGCCGTGTGAAGCAAGTGCATGCACGGGGAGAACCGGTGGTAACAAAACGTGAAGTGGAAGTGGAAGATGTGTGCTAAAGAAGCATTTTAACTTTGGGGTTTTGTTTTATTCATTTATTTATTTAAAACCCAGCCGATAGAGAACCGTTGTGTGATGTCCTGGGGCAAAGGCACAGAGAGAACGCAGCAGTGGTGGGTTCCGCATCCCGCTGCAACTGGTACACTGCAACGGGGCACATGGGCAGCGCGCACATGCGTACTTAACCACCCGCGACGCTCCAGCTGCTCAGTCGAGCGTCGCACAGGCGCCGTACGCTCCGTGCACAAAAGCACCGATTGGCTCAACTACAGGTAAGGAGGGCGGATGGGCGGGCCCTCCGGAGCACTGTACTGGAACGGTACCTGGTGCTCCCAGCAGGCACCGCTACGCCTGTACCGGGGCATACCGATCGTATCCCACCACTGGAACACAGCTGATAGTTCAAATCGCCCCTTCATTGCACCAACTTTCCCCCATGTTATGGCAAGTCCCAGAGCAAAGTAATTGAAAATACACACACACACACCCCTCCAGAATCCTCTGGCTGCAAGTAGTCCAGCAAAATGCTGGAGGCCACAACAGCTGCAAAACAAATTAGCTGGGCAAGGAAATGTCAAATGACTCCAGGAAGCAAAGGAACAAGGCACTCCAGGAAGCAA